AAGCAGTGGTCTTTGCAATCCCTTTGTACAATTTGATCGGAACAACTGCTAGGACCGTGTCTCTCTCATCGAGAGATAACTACATAGCTATTCGCTCAAGTCGGCTACAAACATCACATGAAATTCACGGATGGATCAAGTTCATTATCGATTTGCTACTTGAAAGTCACAAACAACTGTGTACGACATACTTATTGTCCAATCCAGCCCTTGGTCCGTTTGATTACCGTTCATTGTTATACGTTATGAGTTACACTCCGTGTGAAGAGCACTCTAGTAATTCATGCTAAGATTTATTTGGATGCCTTTATGTTTTTATTAATAATCTCAACCGTTCACCCATCATCTCTAAATTGTTTGCTTAATCATCACACACAGTGCGCCTAGTATACCCACAGCATGCAAACCGCTAGATCTGGCGCGATCACCTCTGGAAACTACATCCACGTGAACCACGCTAACTCGGCTTCTGATCTATAGGGCTTCATACTTTATATGTCACATTTACACCAATTATCCGCTTTGCGGAACGAATCATCACGCATATTTTTCCATATAGTTTCTCGAGACACGTACAAATACACAACGAGTGCAAGAACCACTGTGACATTGAAAAATTTGACTAACGCTGAAGTACACTACAAACTGGAGTCCACTGCTTCCGAATTGTATTATTTCAAGCCTCGCTATGGTTGCCTCGATCCAGAGCAAGAATCGGATGTTGATGGTAAGCAGATTTTATAAAACACCTTTTTGCAGTATTCTTATTGTCTTTTGATATTGATTATCCGGCAAACCGCAACCATGAGCTAATCGTTCAAAGCATGCTAGCGGAGAATGAGAAAGAGAAGGATTTACCTCAGCTGGTAGGATGACGAATTGCGATTACCACATTTGGCGCCACTCTTTGTTCTTAGTTTGAACACACCAATGAAGCACAAATTCGGACACACAGAGTAAAGTGTCTCCCTTACGAATGTGGGAGACTGGCTATAGAACCGAACCACGAGCTCCTGTTTGAAGGTATTCATTTAATCTGGGTCATATCTACTTTTAAGGTTCATTTGCTTTGCCGTTTTCTTCCAACATCTCACTGCACAACCCTAATTTTTTTTGTTTGTATTTCGATGTACAAACTTCTTCAACTAATTTGACGGTCTTTCCAACCAAAGGCGCAGTAAAGCAATATGACAGCTTGGATTTGATCGGTAAATTTATTTTATCCTCCGGTACAATAAATGTTCTTCAAAGTAATTCGGAAGCCACTATGTTTAACCGATACCAATACCAACACCGACACAATCACATTAAGGGTATGCATTTCCACGGACAGTTATCTATTGGAGGTAAGTGCGGCTTTGATTATTACCGTCAACATCACTCTTGTTCATTCTGCAGAACTTCCCTAGCCAGGCATATTTCACCACAATCAAATGTGTGTATAACACACCAAAAACTACGTCGTCCGTAAGTGCTTTGATTGTATCTTCTTTGGTTTCCGAGAAACGGGTATGTACAATAGTCACAGGTTTGAGAGATTTGATTCAGATAGTTGCCATGCCATTGGAGCCACCAGACGAACGTCATGTTTAGACTGGCAAATGGTGTATGCGATATAACAGACAAGGTTAATAAAGTGATCAAAACTATTAATATGTGTAATAACATTCGCGGTTAATTTAGCCTAATGGCAAATATAGACTATGATCACATTGAAGAATTCTTGCTTTCAGTCTGGAAGAAACTCGTTGCTGACATAATATCTAGTGGTATTTGCGCAATATGTAGTCTGTAAATTTGCTACTACCGTGCACACAGGTTGTGTTCATTGTGACGTCAATTCATTCCATTTCCGATTACAGGTCACTGATTGCCAACGATCAATAAGCGATTTACGGAATGTCGATTGAGACAAGAGCGTTTGAAGCACCACCTCCAACCGGCTTAAAACGTCAATCCAGGTGTGTAGTTGTTCGGTATCTCTCACACACTGTGATTTATGATCCTAATTCGCCTCTATGCAGATGCTCCTCAAAATCCTGGTTTCTAACTGTATTAATCCGATTTGTGAAGATCATTTTAACTGCTATGAATAATAGATGCAATCGCATTGGGTATCATCGGGTTAAATTACTTTTCTCATTCCACATATTTGTCCTAGTTGTGATTGCTTCACAACTGACCATAATGTTGCCCCAGCCATTTACTCTGCAAATCGAGGAATTTAGCTAACGATTGCTCCAACTTATGGGTCCGTGTACCGGCTGTCGGCAAATATAACAATTTACCTTATTTATTATTTTTTTTATTTTGTTTATAAATCGAAAGTGACCAACTATGCCGTTGCTTTAGATATGGAATTATTAAAGCAGAAAAATGCGTTAATAGAAATTCGGCCGAAAGTCTGATTCGATGGGCTGATGTGCCAAACTCCGTAGGTATGTGCTAACAGTGAGAAACGCTTACGATAAGTGGACCAAGGTTATCTGCGATACGCTAATTAGAATCACTTGTGTTACCTTGGAAGCCAATATGATCAGAAGTCAACAACAACATATGTGTAAACACTGAATTCGTGAGTGCACGTCTACCGTTGGTTGTCCTAGATATTTCCATGCCTTCAGCATGCCTTGTTTGCATAGGTCCAACACGTAAGACGTCACAGACTAAGCTTAGAACAAGTCTTAGATGTTTCGACTTCCCGTAGGAACGAACGAACGTTCTTCACCGATATCACTACACTCGTAGAATAGCCAATTGCATTTAGCTCGATACAATCTAAAGTATATAGACACCAAATGAGGAGAGATTTGGTGTGGCCAACCTCCATTCCTGCATTTCACGGCCGGCGGTTTCGCCTTGTTCCGGACTAAGTAGGTAGAGGTAGCCTAATCTGGGAGTATAATTCGGCATCTAGTATTTGGCAACTTTGCCATGAGCACTAGACCATTGAGCTCTCAGCACAGAGATTGACACATATCAAATCTGATTGCCAAACATTGATTGTTTGGAAAATTGCGTTCTGCACACGTATATTGGCGCTACCGAATTAGCGCGCGTATGAGTTATTTCCCAATAAACATTGAAAGTTTTAGCTTCCGTGAGTCCATCCCGATAACCATATGAAGGAATGTGATGAACATAACCGACGATTAGGTATCAGATTTAGACTAGTCTTTTGTCCCTACTCAATGCAATAGGTAGAATACTGCCAAGTCTTTGTGACAGCTCTCGCAGCAACTAATTTAGCGCAGGTCTCAGTCATTCAAAATAGACGTGATTCGATGAGTGCATGTGAAATTTTTAGCTTCGGCAACCCGATAGATTGATTCCCCATGTGGTGGGTACTCAACTACTCGGTAATCCGTGTCTACTCTTTTGGATAACCGGAGGGTTTCACGGACCAATCACGGTTCCATTAACATGTGTATCAGTTAGAGCAATACCAATATTAAGAGTAATATTAATAAAAGGTACGTTTTTACGAAGTGAGAAACTGCGTCCATATTTAACACAGCTCATATAAATACAGAAGACTACATAGCATTTCTTGTGCACTGTGCAGTTGTGTGGTTTGTTCTCGAGATTTTAGCAATGCACCCCCACATGTTTGTGTTCTATCGTAAAGTGGATGGTTACAATGCGCTTTCTGAGAATATTGTTGACACTCAGCGCTTCTCCCCTATGAAGCAGACAGTCAGATTATATTGCATGCAACAAAATTTACTTCGCAGAGAAAGCATTCATGAAAAATTCACAAGGCGGTGCACCGCTAAGCTTGGTTTCCCTTGGCGGACAACAGCTCCATTGACGAAACAGAGCGCTACTCCACCATTAAAAAAGGACCATCAGTGCGTTCCGCCGAACACTCATAGAAATGTACAGTTTTATTATGTGTACATATAATCTTCAGCAGACAGTACAGGCGGTTTTTAAACAGCAGTGTTGGTGTTGTTGGAGTTAGTATTTGAGATAGCAAAGCAGAGCGTACCTGACGAACTCGCGCTATACAGGCCACACATACACACAAGCTCTCCAGTTACGCAAGGGTTATAGTGAGAAGAGATTGGACAAATGCGTGTTACAATAAGTTAATTATCACAAAGTACACGAAACATGATAAGCACCTATACCAGCAAATTGCATTCACATAACCACTATAGGGTAAAAATATCAATCGTACTTATGTATGCGAAACACAGGAATAGCTAATCACCAAGTGCACTCCATAATGTTCGTTCATTGTGAATACGTCGCGACTCAGTAAAACATCAGACATCGCTCAACTATTAGCGGCACAACAGCAGAACTGTTTTGTTGCGACGTGTTTGTTTGCTTGGCGAAACAAATGTCGGCAGAAGAAAGTATATCCAACAAAATGCATGTGGTTTATCACATTCACCGACATTTTGTTCTAAACTTGTGATGACCAGCTGCATTTTACTTGCGTCGCACCACAAAAGACATGAAAATGTTCAAAACGCCTAGTTTGAGTGGCTGCCAGCAGAGTGAAGTCCGTACAGACCAAATGGAAGCCGACTTACGTACGGCGCCGGAATACCGCGATCGCAACTTGGGTGGTAGCTTCCGTTTTTGGATTTGCCTGTCAATCTGGCCAACGTCTGACAGTAACACAACGCTTTTTACTCACCATGTTCTCGAAAGGAATCTTTAGTATTCATGACCAAATTTAGAAGCCGCTGCACTCAGTTGCTGATGAACACCGGTACGCTGAATTGCTAGCTGTCCAATGGCGTAAATGGCTTTGCCGGCAGTGGTGAATAGGGACAACTAGGCAGGAAATGTGCGTCTAGGATGGCAGCGCACACCCAGCCGTTGGATTGTGAAAACTGAGCGTGAGCCAGATATCACAGCCGCACTAAATGTGTCATGCTTCGATCGATTGGTAGTCGGCCTACACACAGGTGAAAACGCCAGCAAAAGCGTTCTCTGCGAATTGGTTATTGCATCACAGTGCCAACAATTGAGAAAAACAGCCTTGCCGTATGTGATCACTGGTCCATGGGCGCCGCATTGTAATCGCCACGAAAGCTGTTTTGACCTCATGACTGGCTTCCAACAAACCCGTAAACGTTGATTAGGCTACTTTCGTTGCTAAAGGGAACCATGCTGCCGGCAGCACATCGTAAGGTTACAGTGTTGTTCGATTTACCGTTACTATAGTGTGTGTGTTACAGCTGAAAATTCACCCTTCATGCGTACGAAAAAACGAATTCCAGACTTGACTTGACGGTACAATGCTCCTAGATTTAAGTCTGCCCCGATGCACCGGCGGCACCAGTAGACAGCACACTAATATAGTCATGTATGCAACTATTGTCCTTACAGTCGGACAACTGCTAGTTGTAATAATTCATCAGGTATTCAATAGTATTACTCGTGTGCAATGGTGCATATACATTTATTCATTTATTCACTTATATTTACGTCTGTAAATCTCCACTATGTAGATGTTCGCAACCTCAGACAAAGCGAACGCTCCAGCACCGGCACGGATGAGGTAGCAGCATGCGCGGTTGCCCCGCCTGGACCAGACGCACAGAAAGTGTCGAACTTAAACATGTAGACAATTCAGCGCACATGCGACTGGCAGGAAACCATAAGCGCACGGGCCTCTTTGGGAATAGATGGTGACGAATAATTAAAAGCCCATGTTACCGTATCCGGATCGACAATAGTTTTGTGGCCTTCCTTACTGCCATAAAAATGTACGGGATGGAATCCAGTGGGATTACCAGTGCAGACCGCTAGGCTGGATAGCTCGGAAGAAGTCGTATATAGAACAATACTTCACACCAGAACGACTAAAACCCCGTCCGAATTAATGCTAGGGAGAAAAACTCGAACTCGTTTAAATGCAGTCATTACGCCTAAAGAAAGCGTCGACCAAGCAGAATACGAAATGCTACCTGAATAGAAAACTAACTACCGGCAAATCGGGAAAACTTCCCCCACCGGAACATTCCTACATGGTTGGCCACTCTTTTATCGGAAGGGTAGCAGGACAATCGGACCACCGACCCGTGTGAAATCAGCTCACATTCACGGAATTTAACCTGAGAGATAGAACAACAGTGAATGCAAATCGGTTGCATACAGCTCATTCACAACAAATGTTTAAACACAAAGTCAATTCTGTGGCATGTTGTTTGACAAAAACAAATAGAGCTCTGCTACGATCCGACAGGATGCATCATACTGTACACCGTTATGATTTAATTTGTAAAGCTAAATGATGCAGTCTGTCGTTCAAAATTGCTGATACGTTTACATGAATTGTTTATGCTCCTTCAAACAGAGGAGGGCACAATATCTTGTCCATGTTGATTGCTTCCATGCCGTTGTTTGATGTCATAACTCGCTACCCGTTAACATTCATGGCCCTAAGCATGTACTTGCTTCCGATTACATTATTAATCTCTCGGCTTATTTTGAGACCGTTGTTCCGTCATTCTATTGTGTCCATATTATCGTTCGTTTACAACTTCGGATGTCCTCCGCTTCGGGCACAAGAGACTGTGAAGCCTTATACTCTCACTGATCTATTCCAAATCTCTTCGTATTTTCCTACTTGTAGCTACATCTTCCATCACAGTTTGTTTGTCTTCCCATATTTTATGTATCGACTTCATGTTTGAATAACAGACACAAAGAACTTTACACTTATCCGATTTACTTTAACTCATCCACTCATAAATACATACCTTGGAGCATAAAACACCTTGATATGGTCACGAAGCTTATTGCTGACACAGGTCATATCGCAGTTGTGGACAATACCGTTGTCGAAGTCTTCTCACGCGTCAACCTCACCCTTGTAGTTGCCCTCCGTTAACCTTGCCGCTGTGGTATCCGCTCAGCTCCAAAATAAAGTCTCTCAACGCACCAT